ATGCATGGATAAGCATAGTTTAAAAAAAAAAAAAAAAAAATTGGGTATAAGACAAAATTATGAATTTACACATGCATTGAATTAAAATTAAAGTTACAATAATGAAATCGAATATATTGGTAAATTAATCAGATCATTTTTGTCTCTTTCAATAATCAATTTCATATCACTTCAAGACAAAATCTAATTCCATGTTCAACAAAATTAAAAAATTAACAAAAGAAACTGCACTCTACCGAACAAATTTATTAAATAAATAAACTCTTAAACTTGTCTTAACCTCCTAATACTAAATGCTTTAGCAGGTTCGAAAAGCTCTGAGACACGATCCGTGGCACGTGGCACAAACCCAATTGTTTAATAATACGACGGGCGGTGGCTGGCAGACGGAAAACGTTAATTCCTTGGAAAATGCGCCGACTGTGACAGCTGAACTGGGGAATGAGTTAACCTGACGGAGATAGGTGACGGCTGTGTGGGTCCCTGCGGGGTCCCCCCTTCCCCCCCTTGGGTGATGAAAACTAACCGGATGCTAAGGTGCGCGGTGGGGTGTCTCGTCACGCCTTGGCATTTATGGCGATATTCAAAAATTGAATTGGGGGATCAGATATGGTTAGGGAAAAGGGCATGGTTTTGAGAGACATTTACGATTTCGAGATTTTTTATTTTTATTTTATTTTTACAGTGTTGTGCTGTGTTACAACTTACAGGTTTTTTAAGGTGCAGTTAATTGTTGATAACGGTGGAGCATTACACGTGTCGACATGGTTAGTGAATACTGGTTGCAAATTTCAGTATTGGTTCTTGTGGAGTGTTTTTTTTACTCCCATTACTTGGTGAGGAACAGTGCTTAATTTAAAATATTAATCTATGATAATATTATTTAAAAAAAAAAACTTGAAACCAAACAAAACTAAAAAATAGAACCGAAACTGAATTAGAAAACCGGTTTTTTTAAATTCAATACGGTTTCGGTTCACAAATTTGACTCAGCTAGTTAATTGGTTTTTAACATAACATTGTTATCGAATTGACAATAACATAATTTTTATAATATATTTATTAAAAAAATTAATCCAAAAAGGTTGGTCTAATAATCAAAGAGGTTTGTTCAATTTTTTAAGTTTTTAAGTTTAAACATTAAGATTATTTATCATATTGTGATTTATCTAGTCTTTTAAGTTTGTAAGGTGTTTAATAAATCTCACGAGTTAAGATGAGTGTAACTTGATTAACATATTAAAAAAAAAAAAAAAACTTAGACAGTAAATTTCTAGAACATCTTTCAAGCCAAATAATTTGAAAAAAAAAAAAAAAAAAAACCAGTAATAAAGACAATCTAGCAATTTACCAAACAACTTTATAGTTTTGTAAGAAACATAAATATGGACGAGACTTACAACAGAAAATGATGTTGACGAGACTCGAATTAAAAAAAAAAGTGATCTTTTATGAACCTTTGATTTGAAAATTGTGACATTTAACCGCTCTTACAACATCAAACTCAATTGAAAAATTAGTAATACTTACTTTCAACAAACAAAATTAGCATAAAAATTAGTTATATTCACGCTGTCAAGAATTAACCTAAATGATGTTTGATTAATCTAGTTACTATTGTTTTTTTATTTATAAGTACGTGATAAGTATCAGTCAAGGTGATTCATTTGAATGGAAACTTTAGGGTGAGTTTGGTTCAATATTTTTACCCATATTCCCAATCTTATTCCCTAAATATTGTTTGACACATTATTTGAGAAATATTAGTGTATTTTTTAATTACTTTTAGACCCTTTAAGTTTATTAATTTTATTAAATACCGCTAGAAAAAAAAAGTTTAAACATTAGCAAAATCACCCCCACCCACCCATACTTGCCAGATTCCGGCAACCACCGTTGATGGTAGCCGGAATCTGTCACAACGGCTTACACCACGACCGGAAATGACCATTTATTCACCGATCTGACATTTTTCGGCCAGATTTACCAACTAACGGCCAAAGAAATGGCCACATTTAGTCGTAGATCTGTCTTTTCCGGTCAGATCTGTGGTGGATTTAGCCGAAAAAGACCATATCGACGCCTTACGACACAGATCCGACCGGTCTGTGTCGTAACGTAATTTTTCGGCCAGATTCCGGCAGTGGTGGCCGGAATCTGGCACTGCAGGTGGTGGGGGTGTTTTTGTCATTTTACACAATTTTTATATATTAGGGTGTTTAATTAAATTAGCAAACCTAGCAGTTTTTTAGAAATTTTTAAATTTTATCTCGTAATACTTCTCTATTCAACTACCCAATATTATTATCAAAATCTTATCCAAAATAATAAACCAAATGCACCCTTAACTTTTTAGTTCTTATTATTGTTTTTAATTTTTTTTTTTCCAATTTCACATCTTAATTGAAATAAACGAACTAGAAATAATTATAGCATTTAAAATTATATAATATATTTAAAAGATTTATATATGTTGATGCTCGTTTTCTGCACCAACCAACTGTCACGTGGGTGACACTGTTTTATGAATTTTATGTTCGTGATAATTGATGCGTTTAATGAAAAGAAATAAAAAGAGACTTTTTAAGTGGTTCGGATGCTAAGGTAGCAAATCCTACGTCCACTGATTTTGTATTGATGTTGGTGTGGGTCAAGTCGCTAAGCGGACTGACGTACATAAGAGTTAATGAGAGTAATTTGCTCTTTCTTTTTTTACAAGAGAGAGAGTTGTCTTTTGGGTAATGAATGAACCAACCCCCTTAATGGTGAGGTTTTCTACATTTTATATCGAATTTGAAGCGTGTAATCATCATTAAATCTTCGGGTTGGTATGATTGTCAGGATATCATCTATCTTCACGTCCCGTTTTCCCTTTTTCCAAGCTGACTTTGCATGACTTGCTGCAGAGAGACGGACGCGTGTAAGCTCCATGTTTATTCGCAGGTCTGACGTGCGCACATTGTCCTGACGGGGGCAGGTTACTCCTGACGCGACTCCTTCCACGTCAGCTCTTTATTTTCCCGTGCATAACAATATATGACTTTTTTTACTGTACTATTATATATATTTTTATTATTATAATGTACAACGATATAAACTCAATAAAGATCCATCTATGATATGTATATGTATCTTTATACATATAAGTATCAATTAAATATACGAATATACATAGTATCTCAATTCTATTTCTTTTTGTTGATTCCAATATAGTATTGTTTATTTGGAAGATATCGGTTCAAATTTTGAATCAATGAGGAACATATACTTTATTGTTAGACATTTAACTTTAGTATAACCTTATATTCACTTTTCCACTATAACTACTTTGAAATAGATTGATGAAACATTTATCAAATCTACCCATAAATAAATTCTTCATTGTACCCGTGAACTTTTCTGTCCTTCTTTTTCCTTCACAACCTCCATTCTTAATCTTGTGATTCAAATTAAATTAAAGTCCCAATAAAAATTATTATAAAAAAAAAAAAGTTGGGGACCATTCAAAAGTATGACTGCCCACCAAAATTTTAACGGTCAAGATCTGCCTGTGACCAGACCATCTGTCACCTACGTCTGTGCACCGCCTAAATTTTTACTAAACAAAACGACACCGCATCAGTAAAAGCCCTTTAAAGGCCAGAGCTGAATCTTTTTCCTTTTTTTACAGTCACCTTCATCTGGCGCCTGCATTAATTCAAATGTCCTAAAACGCACCGTTTAAGGTACTTTGGAAAATAAAGGGAAAAGGTAAGGGTATCTTTCGGAACAAAAATCTAGGAAAATATCTGCGTTGTAAATTTGATCAGGTTATTGTACTGCACTGTAAAATTAGGAACTGTAGGGATCATTTCCGGACACTGATATTACAGTCACTTGCAATTGTCTCTCTCTTGAAAATTAAAGGACAGCATGACACATTGACACCCACAGGCCACAACGCAACTTGGTTCGGTCAGACGAAAATGGGAGGAAATTAAACGAATAATAGTAGAAATTAATTATGAGTAATGTTGCGTTTATATTTTTTTTTTATATTATTTATATTATATTATTATATTATTATGTGATATATATTATAATTATATAAATTTTATTATAATATTAAAAATTAAAAATAATTAAAAATTTATGTGATTGTGACATATATCACATCATAAAAGAATAAATATAGTATAAAAGAGTAATATAAATATAATATTACTTATTAATTATTATCTTAATTTAGATTATTAATTAGAGCGATGGATGAACATTATCTATCATCTAAATCATTTACTGGTTTATTATTAGATCATGAATTAAGGTCCGAGTAGAAGGTAAAATCATCTCGGTAATCTAATATAACTTTTTAAATGATATAACATGATTTATAATACAAGAGAAAACGATATCTTCTATCTAAATTTATTGTCCGATTTGTTGTTTAACTAGGTTTGTATTAGAGTAAAATTATCTCGATAACTTATTGTAACCCTTTAAATATTATAACCGTGAATGAAATGTTTTGATTTACGAAAATAGTTTTCTTATATTTAGAAATTTATAAAATTCTCTCTCCAAAGAGTGATATTTGATAAATTTTGTAAACGTAATTGTTAAATTTAAGAATTTTTTTAATAAATTCTAAATATTTATCTTCTATTAAATGTATTATCAAGAGGTTTTCAAAGATCTAAATATTAATTAGAATTTATTAACTCATAAAATATCTTATTAAAAAATAATTTTAAATTACCAAATTAAACAAATATCAAATAAATCCCATATTTTTTTCTTTATTTTATTCCCTCCTCTTCTCCATTTTCTTCTTAAAGACAAACTTCGCAAATTACAACGTAGTAAATGTCAACTCCGATACAACAGCAGAGCTTCTAAAATACACTCACTGTAATAACCCTCAAATCATTCACTTTCGCGCTTTCACGTTCAGTCCCTCATTTTCGTTTTCATTTTTTTTCTTTATTTCTTTTTAATATTAAATTAGTTTATATAATTTTCCATTGATGCATGTATATATTTCACCCGCATGATGTCGCGGTGGCTTGATTTTAATGTAAAAAAAAATGAAAACAAACTGAGCCCGTGTCTGGATTTGCTTGGAATGGAATACCCAAAAGTGTTTTTGTTGTTTTTCTAAAACAGTGTTTCAGATTTAGAAACACTGTTTTCTTTCTCTCCTTGGGTTTCTGGTTTCCTTTTGTTTGATTCTTGTGCTTTCAACTTGCCCTTCAACTCGTTCAAGAGATTGGCTGGTATATATACCTATATTTGTATATTCGTTTTCTTTGTTTTTGTTTGGTTGTCGAGAAAATTTTTCACCATTGTAAGATACTACTCTCTTGTTTTTGGATCTTATGTTATAAAGAATGGTTATGGTTGTGTCAAGTTCATTTGAACGGATTTTTTTATTATTTCCTTTTTTGGTTAATGATATAATAATAGTATTTTCTTGTAGTTTCTAGGTAAACAGACATAGTTTTGTTCGTTTGTTTGTAAATTTATTGTTCAAGTCGTGATCTTCATTTGGTTTTTATTGCGTTGCAGGGCTAAAATCTCTTCCTGGGTTGTAATCAAAGGCTTGATATTGAAGCTTAAGAAAAAAGAGACGAGAAGGTTATACATAGGAAATTACACACCTTATCTCTTGTCATTCATTGATTTGATGGATCGATCTTTGCCTGGACACTGAGACAAGAGAATCTACTGGAGGTTTATTGTTTGTTCTGGTTCTGTTTGAGAGTCTTATACTCCTATTACTATTTACCCGTCTGTGTTGTCTTGGATCTCATTTTCGCTTTTATTGTGACTGTTCTTTTCACCAAGTTGACTCCTTTGATTTGAAAGATCAAAGGAAAAAAATCTCCTGTGAGAGAAAGAGTCGAGCTTCCTTTTGGCTTTGTGTGTCAGTTTAAGAATTTGTTAGAATATTCATCAAAATTAAGCTTAAAAGATATTGTTTCTTGCTTTTTGGGCCAAAAGGGTATCTAGATCTTCAAGATTGTATCATCCATTTGGGGAACATACATGAAAGATTTTGGTTTCCGAATGAAGAAAGCTGAGCTGGTGATGCTGGTTTCTGCCATTTGTGGGGTTTTTGAAGGATTCTTGTGAATCAGCAGTGAAAAGGGTCTTGTCATTCTGAAAATATTGTCTCTACAATTACTGGAGTCGAGCATGTCTGTGGTATAAGTTGTGTAATCCATCTTGGTTTGGTGGGGGCACACCAATAATGCAGGAAATGTTTGTTTGTGTTCTGGGCTTGTAGTTTAGCCTCTTCAATGATATTGACATGATGGTTGTTGAGAATTGAATTTGCTAAGCCAACGAAGTTTCATATAAATTGCTTGTGGTAATGAGTCGAGAAGTGAAGCGAGGGAAGCAGGTGAAAGGCGGTTCCGATGTGGCTGAGAAGGTGGTTGTTGCTGTTAAAGCATCAAAGGAAATTCCTAAGACTGCTCTTGTCTGGGCTTTGACTCATGTTGTTCAACCTGGAGATTGCATTACACTACTGGTTGTTGTGCCTTCGCATGGTTCTGGTACTCCTTTTGTTGCCCCTTACTGGTTTATGTTAATTTGTTTCGTTGATTTTGAGTCAGAAAAATTAGTATTGATGTTTTAATCGAGTAATTTCAACTTTGATTCTGCATTTATGTAGCCATTATCCTCCATTACTGTCCTAATTTCATTTGAAATAACCTTTGTCAGAATGCAATTTTTTTTTTTTTTTTTTTTATTGACGAAGTTTCTGACAAATTTTGTGACTTCCTCTTTTTCGTATAAGCTTGCTAACTTGGTAAATTTGCTACTAATTTTCAGGTAGAAGATTTTGGGTTTTCCCAAGATTTGCTGGAGACTGTGCCAGTGGTCACCGGAAGTCTCACACTGGAACGATTACAGAGCAGAAGTGTGATCTTACAGATACTTGCTCCCAGATGATCCTTCAACTCCATGATGTTTATGATCCAAACAAGGTACAAGCCTAGGTGTGAGATTAGTAATATGTAAATTGTAATGTTATTACATGAGAGCTGAGTGATGATCTTTGTCTCCTGTACTGACTTTGTTTCGCAGATTAATTTCAAGATCAAAATTGTTTCCGGATCACCTTGTGGGGCAGTGGCTGCAGAGGCCAAGAGAGCAGAAGCCAATTGGGTTGTGTTAGACAAGTAATACGCTAATTTTCTTTCTTTGTTTTTAATCATTCCAGATATGCATGAAACTACAAGTATCATGAATGCAAGTTCTTGTTACTTGGGTTTGATGTTCACGCATTTATTTATGGATCTTGGGTATGTGTCATTGGCTTTTACTTCAGACAGCTTAAAAATGAGGAAAAGCGCTGCATGGAGGAGTTGCAGTGCAACATAGTGGTTATGAAGCGTTCCCAGCCGAAAGTTCTTCGTTTGAATTTGGTTGGATCATCCAGAAGAGAAGCTGAAGTTGCCTGTCCACCTTCGGACCCAGATGAATCATCTGAAAAGCATAAGAAAAACAAGAATGGCTCTTCAGATTCCATTAGAGGGCCAGTTGTCACACCCACTAGTAGTCCGGAACTAGGGACGCCATTTACTGCTACTGAAGCAGGAACTTCATCAGTCTCAAGCTCAGATCCAGGAACTTCTCCTTTTTTCAACTCGGAAAATAATGGAGACTTGAAGAAAGAGGAATCATTAGTAATTAGGGAAAATCGAGATCTTGAAGACTCTAGTTCAGACACAGACAGTGAAAATTTATCTTTGTCTTCAGCAAGTTTGAGGTTCCAACCATGGATGACAGAATTTCTTAGATCTCATCATCAGTCCACACACCACATTGAAGAAGAATGCTCAAGAAGGACAAATAGTAAGGCTCAAACGTCAACAACAATAGCTTTACTAGAGAAGTTCTCAAGACTTGATAGAGAAGCTGGAGTTGGAATTTCAAACTATAGGACTGATCTGGAATTCAGTGGAAATGTTAGAGAAGCAATTTCACTATCCAGAAGTGCGCCTCTTGGCCCCCCTCCATTGTGTTCAATATGTCAACATAAGGCACCAGTATTTGGCAAACCCCCAAGGTGGTTTAGCTATGCTGAGTTGGAGCTTGCTACTGGTGGGTTTTCTCAAGCTAATTTCTTGGCCGAAGGTGGATTTGGATCTGTTCACAGGGGGGTATTGCCAGATGGTCAGGCAGTTGCTGTCAAGCAACACAAGTTGGCTAGTTCGCAGGGGGATCTTGAATTTTGCTCAGAAGTGGAAGTTCTGAGCTGTGCCCAGCACAGAAATGTTGTTATGCTAATTGGGTTCTGTATTGAGGATAGAAGAAGATTGCTGGTTTATGAATATATATGCAATGGGTCTCTGGATTCTCATCTATATGGTAATTTCACAACCTCCACGAAAATTTTTATTGCTTATATGACACATGCATCAAATATGAAGGAACAGTACATGTTAACAGCCTATGAATATATATGCAACTGGTCTTTGCATTCTCATCATTTTTTTCCATAGTTTATAAAACTTGGCAATTGCTATTAGCATTGCCAATTCAGTTCTGGCAGTTCATTATATCAATATTTCCTAGACTACAGTTCATTATCATTTATTATCATCATTTTACTTCTGCCTGGCAACTGCTGTTGTGAATGTACCAACTATTCGGTTTTTGTTTCAGGACGTCATGAAGAGCCTCTAGAATGGACTGCAAGACAAAAAATTGCTGTGGGAGCTGCTCGAGGTCTGCGATATCTTCATGAAGAATGCAGAGTGGGTTGCATTGTGCATCGTGACATGCGACCAAACAATATCCTCCTCACCCATGATTTTGAACCACTTGTATGGCTCTCTCAATCTCATTCTCTACTGTTGAAAAAGTTCAAATCTACCATTCAACTTTATTTTCTCATTTTCATCCACTAAATAAATCAGATCACTCGACTTCCTTTTATGCTAGTAGAAATATGATGTGCTTTACTCTTTCAAGGTGCAGGAAATATTTGTAACTTGACAGTTTGTTGACGAAATTTAGGTGTTGTGGGCTTAATTTAGCATTTGCATTTGTTTTTCTAGGTTGGGGATTTTGGCCTGGCAAGGTGGCAGCCTGATGGGGACACGGGTGTGGAAACAAGAGTAATCGGAACATTTGGGTAAATCTTGAACATCAGCTTTTGCTTTTAACTTCTACCTTCTCCATGCAATTACATAATTCAATAAGGTTCTTGTGTACTGTAGGTATTTGGCACCAGAATATGCTCAAAGTGGCCAAATCACAGAAAAAGCTGATGTCTATTCCTTTGGGGTGGTGTTAGTTGAGCTTGTTACTGGACGTAAAGCAGTGGACCTTAACCGACCTAAGGGCCAGCAATGTCTCACTGAATGGGTATGTTTTGAAGCATTCTTTTTCTCATCTGTTTACCAATTATTAGCTTTAGCCTGTTCAAATACTGTAATTTATGGTATCTGTGAGGTACATGGTGTCGTTTAATATATGACAAACACTTGCTAGAACTAATAGATGGTAAAATCGTCTACATTCTTTTATTATTTTGTCAGGATTTTAGTTCTTTGGTTTGTTACCCTTAATTCGTTGCTTATGAATTTTGATTGGAACAGGCACGTCCACTGTTGGAAGTATATGCTATAGACGAACTGGTTGACCCTCAGCTAGGGAATTGCTATTCGGAACAAGAAGTCTATTGTATGCTTCATGCAGCATCTTTATGCATAAGACGGGATCCACATTCCAGGCCCCGCATGTCACAGGTAATAAGAAATTTCAATTGAAAGCAGTCAAATTTGTTTTACATATCATGTCTTATTACTTATCAACAAAATTCAGTCCCTTTGCTTACTGTTTCATATTCATTTGGTAAAAGGTGCTTCGCATATTAGAAGGAGACATGGTCATGGATGCAAATTATATGTCAACACCTGGATTCGATGTTGGCAGCCGAAGTGGTCGAATATGGACAGATCAGCAGCAGCAACAACAACTACCTTATAGTGGTCCCTTGTTAAATGAGGCTCTGGAAAGCTTCAGTGGGAAGCTCTCTCTTGATTCACTGAAGCCATCTTTCTGGGAAAGGGAAAAGACCAGAAGGACTTCATGTGGAGTTGATTTGTAAAGAGCTTTACTCCCCTCATCAACATGCATCTTACTTAATATGTCATTTTGTATTCCTTTCTTCCTTTTTTTCTCTTTATTTTTGTCCAACGCCCATTTAAGATTTTGCTTGTGAATAACAGTAGTAGCAGGGAAATTAGGAATAGTAAGGTTTTGTAATTCTTTGGTAAATGGAGGAAAAACTCATTGTATGATGTTCTAACTCTATGCCTTTTGTCCAAATCAATGAAAAGCCTTCTCAGAATTTCGCCCTAACTCGCGCTCTCTTGTATGTTTTAAGTATCATATACTACCAACAATAACTCTACATATTTCGAGTTTACATGGCTTGATTTACGACACAATTCTGTAAAACATCATTATATGTCATTAAAAATGTCATACTGTAATGTAATCATGGCGATTCCTATGTTTTGAATGGTGGGGGACCAAAAGACGGTTCATGGGTGTATAGATAGTTACAGGCAGACAGTTATTTTGAATCTTTTTAGAGAGGGGGCAAGAAGCAGCAAAAGATAATCTGAGAATTGTCTTACCTGGAGAAGAATACAAAGTAAGAGATGGAACTCTGCAACTAATTTAATGAGAGAGTTGGGGAGGGCAGGCCTGTTATCCTGGCTGTCACCTTTTTGAATTTCAAATTGTTAGGACATGTCAAGACAGACTTATCTTAACCAGGGACTGTGAGTCTCCCATTGATGACACACAGCCTGAGATTTTCAGAAACACAGGTGATCATCAAGAAACGTGGTCATTTATTGCAGTATTTCTTGGCAATTTGACATTAATTCATTTCTTATTCACATCAGGCAACAACTTTTTCTGTTGCCTTAATTGTCCATCCTGATCCCGATCCTGAAGGGTCAGAGCTTTTGGAGATTTTTGCTAAATATTTACCATCTTCTAATCATTCATATATATATAGTATTCCTTTTTTAAAGAATTACATCTGCGTTTGTTTTATTTTTTAGAATAATATTCTATAATAGAATACTATTTAATCAAATAAGATGTGATTATGAGAATGTGTTGTGGAAAATATTTAAATTGTTTTAACCCTTATATTTGTTAATTTAACTAAACACCTCTCATAATAAAAGTTTATAAATTAACAAAAACACCGTCACCCACCTAACTATTATTGGTAGACAAACACCATCGTCGAACGGAAGTCGTCGGAATGATACACAATTGACTAGATCTAGCTGGAAACAGCCAAATCTATAGCCAATGATCTAGCTGTTGACAATTGTCATGTCTTGACAATCTAGCTGACGGCCAAGATATGGCTATCAACAACTGTCAAGATCCACCATAGCTGTTGTCAACGACTAGATCCATACACAATCGATCAGATCTAATCGATTGTGCACTATTCTGACGACTTTCTACCGCCGTTCGACGATAGTGACCAACAATAGTTGGATGACTAAGGATATTTTTGTTAATTTATAAACTTTTATTGAGAAAAATAATTGTTAAATGTTTTAAATTGAATAAATTATGATGAAATTTTGAGTTGAATAAAAAAATAATTATTTCATTGAATTGGATAGGATATCGTTTAAAAAGTAAAACGAATGCAGCCAATTGTTATTAAAAAACAAAAAAATTATCTTGAGATGAGACAAACATACTTCATCAGTTTCATTTCAATGTAAATCGTAATACATGAGATGTAAAATACATCAAAATCTAACGACAAGAAGAAAATTACTTTTAATTTAAAAATATAATTCTTTACAATTTGAAGATTTTCATCTCATTCTTCAAATTTGAAGAAGACATAATCACAGGGCTCATGTAGTCATGTGCATTAAACATTCGAACATCAATCCGGTTAAATAAGAACTCCACAGGATAAAGAAAATTGTCTGCTTCACTCTCGTAGAATCCCTGCATTTTGGACCTTGCACATCTATAGAGACAGTATAGATTATAGAATACATAATGAAAAATAAGTCTAAATCTAGTGGCAACAGTGAAAAGAACACGATGAAGTCCAACTATGTAAAGAAAGACTTTAAACTAGTACTGGAAGTTGTACAATAATAATTGTCGAGTTTGAAATATTTAGTTACCGAGATCTGATTATGAGTTATTAAATAGTAAAATGAATAAAATTGGCCATACCATTCACATGTTTCTAGCGATTCACATGGCATCATCAAATGATACAAGTATAAATGAATCATATATAAGAAACTCTTCCATCCTTTCGCAATCTTGTTGTAGTGGTAACCAAACCTCTAATCAAGTCTACCAATGGTCATAGATAAGAAATTCTGTTCACAAGCGCAAAAGATATTTTGGAGCTTGCTATAAACACAAATAAAATGAACATAAACAAGCTTTTATCAGAATTTGTTTGGAGCTGTTCATTAACAGTTCAGTTTACAGCTACTCAAACTACTCGGGATTGGACACAGAAGTCTATTCCTTCATTCTGTTATGTTAGTGGTCATCCTGGAAACATTGATAATATATGGTCCTACTTATTAAGCATCTATTATAATATCAAAATCGATGTGTATAACTTCCAGAATATGTAAACAATACCTCAAAATCAGCAAATGCAACAGGCATTCCACCATTAACACACATTTTGAGCAACTGAATCCAGTATATCTGGAAAAAATATAAAATTAGTAAAGCCATTAGGTTTCCAGCCAAACAATTCGTTAGACTGTTGACAAAGACAACATGAATACAGATGTCATTAGAGAACAAAGCAGGAACACTCTATTTGATCATGGAAAAAATTCAACCAAACAGACACATAAGGATACAAATGACAACCTTCAAAAGTATGGTTGATCACCACCTTCAAAAGTATTTTCAAACGGCTCCTGGCACAACCAATAGAAAAGATAGCAGATTAAGAAACACCTCTGTTCTGAGTTGATTCAATAGCACTCTCCACAATGATGATATAACCTTTCTGAGTGATCACTCAAACAATTTGCATTACAGAAAAAATAATCTGAAGTAAAGAAATTTAAAGAACTTATTCACTCTCTCAATAGCTTTATGATAAACTATGAGTTAATACTGCCACCGTACTGGCTAGAGAACTATCAGTTATACCAATTAGATTCTTATTCGAGTTGAAAACAATATACGCAAGGAGCTATCCTATATTAACATTCAAAGCAACATAGATTTTTAGCCTCATTTTTACAACAATACTGTTGTTAGTTTCTGTGCTTTTAACAAATACATAGAGCATTCCCAGATGAAATAAACGTTTTTCCACATACTGATAAATGTAACAAATGCTCTACTTCAAAACCTGTCTTGCCTTTCTGATAAGTGAAATGAAGAGTTATCAGGAACAACTGTTGTCTCACTGCACATTACAAGACACGAACACAAACTTAGCAATGCACGAAAAGAGTCACCGGAAACTTAACGAAAGTTTCAATTTTTCTCACGAAACAAGCAGAAAGCTGAAATTTTTGCGGTCTAAATAAAGCAGGAAAAAGGATCGGAGTTACCTGGTTGACCCGGCTCCTGTACTTGAGGTGGTAAGAATTGAAGCCACGTTAACGGCGAATGAGGATGTGAGCATTGACGCCGTCCGGATTCCCGACCTGAAAAGCGTGTCGTCCCGTCTTCTTGCTGTTGCCGGAGATGATAATAAACATGGAGTAAGGATCGTACGGCGGATGTGCCATTTTGATCAACAACCAGCTCGATTGCTTCTAGAGATTTCGAGATGATCGGCAAAGACGAGAATCTTGACAACAGAGTAACGCCCCCATTATTACTAAGGGAACGCCTTCCTGTTAAAGGATTCGTTTTTTTTTTTATGGTTGATGATGGTAACGGAAACGTCTTCAGTATAACGGCGACACTAAGGCCCCGTTTGGTTTGGTATTTTACACTTTTGAGAATAGTTTTATGAAAAAAGTTGGTTGAGTTGAATTGAGTTGTATTTAATAGTTTTCTGAAAAAAGTGTTTGCATTTAAAAATGTTGTTTATTTATTATAATTTCTTGTGGGGTCAGTAGGTCACTTTGGTTTCACTTTGGCATCTGTGCGCCTGCGCCTAGTGTTGTGTATTACCTTTATGAACTCTCACGTCACTCATGCCATCAGTAAGTTAGCTGAATGCAGGGGTATTTTTGGTTGTATCTGGATCTGAAAGAAACTAGAAACGTAGCAACGATTGTTGACGGCAGGATGGAGAAAGTGTTCTATGGGTTTGGGCTGAATCTGAAACTTTGTTGTATGATGTGAAATTTTCAGTGAAGAAGGAGAAGAAGAAAAATGGGTGCTTTGTGCTTGGTTGATGGACTGAGAGAGGGGAAGGGATTCACGGCTTTGCTTTGGTGGAGAATAGTGGAGTAGATGAAGAGAAGAAGGAAATGAAAAGCTCAGTAGCAATTAGGCGAGAAGGAGGAAAAGTTATTTCAGTGTGTTTTGTGCTTGGTTGATGGACTGAGCGAGAGGAAGTCACGGGTGTGTGCAGTAAATAAAAAGAAGAAGATGCATTAAAGATGTCAGTTGTTGTTGGGCGAAATAATAGCGAAAAATTCATAAACGGTTAAAAAAATGCTGAGTAATATTGAGAATCTTTTGATGGATATGTGAATAAAACGTAACTTTTACTGTCATCTTTATTGAGAAAAGCATTGATAGTTTTTAAAAAACTGAATCAAACGGAGCCTAAATTTTGTTAAACCAACGTCTGTTAACTTACGGTAGAATTAAACGTTCGTTAATAACTGTAGAGTTAAAATGCCGTTAATTAACTGTAGAATTAAATGTTAATCAACTTATGTTACTTAACGGTAGAACCAAATGTCCGTTTAACTGTAGAATTAATTTCTTTTAAGTAACGGCACCAAAAACGTCCGTTTTTAACAGCAAATAAACGTAATGTTATTTGAGGCGAGACTAACGTCCATTATTTGACAGCAAAATTAACGACTATTCATTAATGCTAACAGTAGAATTTTGGGAGCTGCAAAGTTAAAATAAATTTTGACAAACATACCAAGTAACAGATGAATTCTGCAACTATTAATCGAACGAGTTAGGGCAGACCCCTATCTTGGCTGAAACTTGCTTTAGTTTCAAATTATTAGACATAACGAGACATACTTAAGCAAGATCGACAATGAATCTCCCATCCATGACATAGCCTGAGATATTACGAACATGTTGATCATCAAGAAATATGGTAATTTATGTAGTTGTGACTCACTCCCTTCTTTCCTAGAATCTCCACATTTTGGACCTTGCATATC